GTGACATATTTATACTTCACATTTATTGACTTCCTTAATATGTGCCTATTCCTCCTGGTCCACTTGTCATACTATGGTAGTGGGTTTCCATGGCCTGTCATGCAGTCTTGGGACTGGTGTTAGGCTACTATCCCAATAGACACCATAACGTTATTACTAGATTTAAAGGATAAAAATTTTCCTCTAGGTCTCTCCTGGGGCATCATCTCCAGAAATTTTGGTGTTGAGAAGGCATTTCCAAATGTAGTGAATCTAGTGATCCTTTGGCTTGAACTCGTTACCAATCACACCTTCATTTTTCTTAGAAACTTCTCAGCCAGAAAAGGAGCCTGTTAGTCACTTAAGCTCTAAGCCTCTAACTGAAACACATTCCCACCACCACAAACATTTCTAAGGTACAAGAATCCCTGATGAAGAAGTCAATCAAAACCTAATTTCAGTTACCCAAAACTCAACTGTGATTGAATAATGTTCTTGTACTGATTACATGCGTTATAAGGATCATATTCACCACCTTGGTGAAGCTGATTCTTTCTGATGGGATTTCTGGTGGTAGTAGAAGGTGACTTGGAAAATGGGAGAGAAACTGCAGCATTGGTATTCAATTGATTAACAACAATGAGATTCAAAAAAAGACAATTTTTTTTGAAAAATGGAATATAGATATTAGATTGGGATGGGCCATTGGGGTAGATAATTATGCAGTTGGTTTATGGAAGGAAAGCATTTCTTTTCAAAATTCTTTGGATATGAAGTTATGAACTGTCTTTGTTTGGGTACAAGTACCCACCAGGCCAACACTCAACTGCATATAAGGCCCATGAAACAGCTCGTGAAGCCTCTGTACTAAACTGGTTTAGACTTTGAAAAACAAAATTAAGGTAGAAAATTTGTTTGGTAATGGTTATGTTGGGTAGGCTGTTTGCGTTTGGGCCGAAATACTGCTGGAAATGACCCACACGCTTTCGGTATACAAAACTCTGACATCGACACGGGAAACATGATCCAAGAATCTTGATGATTTCAAGATTTCAATGGAATTAAAATATTGAATTCATTTTTCTTTCTTTTTTTTTTTTCTTTTCGATTCCCGCCTGTATCCGGAGTTTTGCTTTAATTAATTCAAATCGACCAATGTCATGCACCTGAGAATGATAGATAAGTCTCCCAATAAAAATTTATTGTGTACACAAAATTTCAATTACAAACTCTTGCTTAAACTGAAATAACTCACTTACTACTTAATTCAACTCTCGTTGGTCATTTTTCTTTCTTTTTTTTTCTTTTGATTTCCCGCCGTATCCGGAGTTTCGCCTAATTAATTCAAATCGATACACGTAGTGCACCTGAGAATGGTGGATAAGTCTTCCAATAAAAATTTATTGTGTACACAAAATTTCAACCACAAATTCTTGCTTAAACTGAAACAACTCACTTGTCACTTAATTCAACCCGTTAATTGGTCATTTTTCTTTCTTTTCTGCCTTAGTCTCTGACTTTTGGCGTGATGGTACCATTTAGGCATTTACAATGAATTACACTTTTCTTCTTTCCCAGTGTATGTGTCTCCGTCTCTTTTAACATCTGTTGTTGTTTTGCCTTATTTTCCTTCTTCCTTTTCTCCTTCCCAGATATAATGTTGGATTCTGTCTGTTGAATTCCAACCCTTTTTTCCTTCCCTTCCAAAGATTCTATAACCTTGAATTTGATCAAAACTTAAAACATCAACCTTCTCGAATTACGAAACAACTCAAACAAGGGCAATCAGTTCATGATTCAGTTTAATTTGAAATCACCCCTGCGAAAACAGGGCAAAACAGAGCAATTCGTAATAATCCAATCACAAAGATTAATGTATTTTCCTGTTATTTGAACTATTTTGGGTTTGGAGTCCTAGAAACAAGAAAGATCGAAACCAAAATTAGACTAGAAAACAAAATCAAAACTCTGCAATTTTTCGGGCTATAAAAACGTTACCCTGTTTTGACTCTTTCGGGTTACAACATTTTGTATTTACACACGGTACTAATAGTACCAATAATCCCCTAATCAATAAAATCTGAGGGGAAAATTGATCTCCTACTCCTCCTAAGCTACTAAAAATCAACCCGCCGTGGCGTGCGCTATCTACATGACCCCGATTGAGAATTACCAGCACTGATCTGTTTCCCATGTCCGCCTCATGTACCCAGAAAACCCAGAAGCCACGGAACTCGCCATTGATGAGGCGGAAGCTGACATGGCACGAGAAGAACCCACGGACAATCTTTGTCGGAACATCAACATCCGGTCATAATCGGCGCGTTTTTCGGGATCAGAGAGCGTGGCGTAGGCTTCGTGGACCCTAATGAAATCGTGAGCCGTGTCGTCGCCCTGACCGTTTGCGGCGACATCAGGATGCAAAATCCTCGCCAGTCTCCTGTAGGCTGCCTTGATCTCCTGACAAGTGGCGCCCGCCTGAATCCCCAGAACCTCATACAGTGAAGCCGGAGATGAATTGTACGTCATGGGTCTCTCCACCGTTGACGCGCAGGAAGCCGCAGCGGATACACGAAGTCGCCGGAAACTGACGCAATTTGGGGCGGAATTGGGCTGACTTACAGCGATCTTTGGGCCCATAAAAAGCGACGAGGAACAGCTAAGAGATGTTGAAGCCATTACTGCTACCTTTGTGACTCTTGTGTTTGAACTTCGAAGGGAACTCTGCTTTTGATTTCGGCTAAGATGATGAAGGCGACATTGTTGGAGATATTTATTTATAGAATGAACTTAACCATGGTTAGTTGCAGAGTTTCAGTTGGGTTAAGAAATCGATGGGCTTATCCATTCGAATTTCAGAAACTGTTCGATGCTGACTCAGCGAACCGTCGGTGTTCTAGAATCCTTTCGCGTGAAACGCGGATGAACAACTGTTTTTTAACTCAATGACTTTTTAGTATTTTTCCAAGTCGAGGATCTAACAGAAGAAGAGGTTAATTAGCTTTGTCTTCTGTTTTTCCTGTTAAACTTGAACCATGCCAATTTGACATATGATACAACAAATACTCATTGTAGATTGAAGAATAAAATTATTGATCTATGATCTTCGTTTGTGTATAAATAGATCTTTAAAAATTATATACTCATTTTATTAATTACTCTTTTTTGTTTATTTTTAATAAATTGTATTTTATATTTTTATTTTTATACATAAAATTTAAATAAAAACTTTAATTGAAGTTTTTTTTCATCAAATTAAAGTATTCACTAAAATTTTCATATAAGAAAAAAAATTTTAACTATTGACCATATAATTTATTAAATTTTTACTTAAAATTTATATTTAAAAAGGACAAATCAAAATAAATTTATTAAAAATGAATAAAATAAGCATTTTTATTTAAGAATTGTATGTAATGATGTTTGTACTTATTTATTTAATATTAAATTATTATTGTAATTTAATTTATAATTTTATATAATAAAAGATTGTAAATTTATGTGATACACATGAAGTTAAAGTAGATAATGGGATAATAAAGAGTTGCCCTAACATAACATTCAATAGAAAGTAAAAAAAAAAAGGGAGGGGGGGTGGGGGGGATTTTCAGTAATGATTAAATCCACCATCTAAATTTAAAAATCAACAACTGCTCCCTCGTTCAAATTTTTTAATTTGACTTTTTAAATTTTTTGAAGATGAGTTTTTTAAATTTATATTCTTAAAACATAAATTAAGAGTATTATTTTGTAAATTTATATAAAAAAATTATAAAAACTTATCATGGATAAGGGTATAAAATTGTTGATTTATGGAATCTGATCCTTCGGGTTAAGTGGCTCTAGCCACGTTTGTAAGGTTTATATCCCCCTCTTCCTGGGTAATGGTTCAAATCGGTCCCATGACAAAATGTTCAAAAAAAGAAATTTGTTGATTTATGATCTCCATTTTTATGTATAAATAATCTTCAAAAATGACAAATTAATATCATTGACTATTTTTTTTCAAAAACTGTATATAATATTATATATTTATTTAATGTATCATATCATTATTATAATTAAATTTATAATTTAATGTGATAAAAATTCTAAATTTATGTTACATAAACAATTTAATTATGCATTTTGTGATCATCTATCTGACCTTGTATAATAATAATAACGTTATGAACTGTTTACTTTTGATAATGTTGTTGATGTGCCCCTTGTTTTGTAAATATTGAGACACACAATTGTGGACTAATTTAGGATTGGAGCATTGGTCATAGAACGTGGATGACAGTAGGCAATGCTTGTTCCCCGTAGGCCATATTGCAGCTCAGACTTTTGAATGAATGTAGATAATTACATGGAAAATAGTTCCACAAATGTCCAAACTTTCTCTAGTTTCCGTGTAAGAATTCTTTATCATTGATTTTGACCCTTCCACCTCCACACAGTAGTTGTTAAGAAGCTGTCCCATGGCCTCAGGTCCAGTCCCCATCGAAGCAGTTGCTAACCCTTCCAGAACGTTTGCACATGCGGCAAATTAATATAAAGAGTGTAATCGCCTAATTAGGGTACAGGAATCGTATGCATAGTCCAATCAAGTAAAAAACTTTATAAATCAGACATTTTTTATTGGCCATCCCTGGGTGTAATTATGGTGATCAAATTATTTGTTAATATCATTAATTACGTTAAAAGGCATTAATTTAATTTAATTTAATTTAATTAAACATGGCTAATCATCACAT